TTTACCGACCAACGTTGGTCGGTATTTAGTTTTAAAAAAATATAATAAAAAAAATTCCCAGTTTCCGTCCAACCTGGACGATTTTTGATCGCTTTTTTTGACCGACCAACGTTGGTCGGAAATATTTGATCGGTTTTTAGCAGATTTTTAGTAGTGTATTGAGAGGGAATTCAAGCGAATCATATGGGAAGCTACCGAGCTACCTGTACATGTTGATGCATACAAACCCTGGATCCGTCGTGAAACTGCATAAATCAGAAGGTGGCTTCTTCTTGTACGTTTTTGTATCGTTGGATGCATCAATTAAGGGATGGGATTATTGCAAGCCTATTGTGGTAGTTAATGGGAACTTTCTATCAGCGCGCAGGGGGACCTTAATCACGGCTTACACGCAAAATGCAGCTGGTGAGTTAAGTTGAAATAACAAATGAATATTTATAAATCAGTATGTATAAAGTTTATATACATATAAGTTGCAATATAGTATCGTATATATGTCGTATATTTTTACTATATGATACTTACATTTTAACCTCATATTTGCAATATTACACCGGTTGTGTATAAGTTGTGCCATTGTTGATCTAAGTATATGTTTACATGAGTTTTTTTGATTGATTTTAACAGGTAAAAATTTTTTACTTGCGTATATTCCGTGGTTGATTCAGAAGATGATGCATCTTGGGAGTGGTTCTTTGAAAGGTTCAGGGATACTTATGGTGCTAGGGAAGGGGTGTGCATAGTATCCGACATGCATGAAAGCATCTTAAATGCGACTTCGGTTGTGTATCCAGGAGTGCTTCACTGTGTATGTATGTTCCATTTGTGGAACAACATAAAGATGAGTTACACGAAGAATCATATACCTATCAAGGAACTATTCTTCGCGTCGGCCAAAGCATACACGGTAGAAGAATTTGACCGCCATATGGCTGAGATAAATAACATCGATAAGAGGGTCGGAGAATACTTGTTAAATGTTGGATATCATAGATGGTCACGAGCACATTCCAAAGTCTTGGGAACCACGATCATGTCTTTAAACATTGAGGAGTCTATGAATGCAGCGAACAACTATGCAAGAGATTTACCAATACTGCATTTGCTGGAATACATGATGAAGTTGGTTCAGGATTGGCATCACGCGAACAAGAAAAATGCAATAGAGACATCCACAAAGCTGGCAAAACAATATGAAGATATCATGAGGGAAAGTTACATTGCATCTCAGAGAATGACGGTAAGATTCCATTACCATGTTTCTTTCATACAAAAAAATGAAATCGGAACACATGCAGTATAATATAAGCCCGTCTATATGTAGTACATAAATGGTATTATATCTAGTATATAGTCTATATGTATATATAAGAAAATGAAAATGGACCGCAGATGGTAGAGTATATCACTAATCATCTTTTTCAAGGTGTAGGTGAAGCCTTCCACCGATTACTTATATACTGTCATTGAAGATGAAAAACAATTTGTGGTGAACCTGGGAGAGAGAACATGCACTTGCATAAGGTTTCAAATAGATGAAATGCCGTGTCCGCATGCTTTGGCAGTTGTCACGTACAGAAGCTTGGATGCATATGAATACTGCTCTATCTACTACAACACGGATTACTTGCTGAAAACGTATGAAATACCAGTGTATCCTGTTTCCGATGAAAGCACTTGGGACATTCCTACAGAGATCTTAGAAGATGTGGTGCTACCGCCGACAGGTAGAATTAAACCGGGAAGGCCAAAGAAATTGAGAATCCAGTTGTTGCCGGGATCACAAGCTAAGAGGTGCAAAATATCATGCGGACAATGTGCACAAGAGGGTCGCAACCGAAAGACATGCGAAAATCTACGGGAGAAAACTTGACATGTTTGTTGGTTTGCATTTTTTCTTTTAACTCAATCATTGTAATTGGATTCTTGGATTACAAAGTTTGATATGAATTAATAAAAACAGTTACTGTCAGGTTTTTCTTATAACACTGTAAGATTTTTTTATATTAGTATATACTTTTCCAGTATATTCATTGATTAAACATTACGTTGGATGTTAACAGTATAGTTACTCAACTAGTGACTGGGTCAATGCTCGCAAAGGATGCTACTAGGACAACACACTCAATGCAAGCGAAATATAGAGTCAAGCTTCAAACCAAGGTTCAACAACAGTAACAACATACCCAGTGTAATTCCGCAAGTGGAGTCTGGGGAGGGTTGTGTGTACACAAACCTTACCTCTACCTTGTGCAAGTAGAGAGGCTGTTTCGATAGACCCTCGGTTCAAGGAGTACAAAAACATAACAGTTTAAAGAAAATACGATAGCAAAGAAGACATGAGCAGAGAAGCATTAACAACAGCTCGCTAATAACAAAACCGAAGTGGAATACAAAGTGGATTATATTTCACTTATGGTATATCAAAGTAAAGATTATGTTTCTTTTTAAGTAGATTGAACTCGCAGAACTTAAAATTTCTTCTTGTGTTCATGGATAGCTTTGATTTAGTTAACAATTATCTATTTCCCTTTCTCCTCTAGAGTGTGGTTGGAAACAGCACTAGTTTCCTTGAGTACCAGCTAACCTTTAGAACAGAGGAAGTACTGTGGTATTGTAATGCTTCTTATGTTTTTAAATTAGTTGAACTAATCCAAAGAGATTATTGAGGTTGACCATTTGTAAAGTGTTTGCATATCAAAATGCATTTTGTCAGTAACTCAACAAGAAAAAAAGATACGCTATCTGTCATAAGAACAGATAAGGGAAGCTTTGCTACAGTGCGTATCTTCTCTAATCTCTTACTATATAAGGGCTGTACTTTGATAAAAATACATTCCCTTTCTCTAAAGAAGTACCTAAGCTTTGTAATGTTACCTAGGGGTGTTCAAAACCAAACCGAAACCGAAAACCGAATCGAAACCGAAGTTTAATGGCTTATTGGTATCAGGTTAACGGTTTAACGGACGGGGAACGGATTGAAATTTTTTTATNAACACTACATCATTCTTATGTAGGCGTTAACAAACATGTATGTCTGGACTCAATGTATAATTTTCTATTCTGAATTTGTATGCTAGGCGGTCAACAAACAATTAATACACGTAATATAGATTGAATTAGGCCGATAAACCGCCCAATAACTGCCCGATAAGAGCTAAACCGATACCAATCCGCCCGATATCTTATCGGGTGGCTAGCGGATTAATACATTTAAAAGCCGATAACTATTAAGCCAAACCGTTAAGAGTAATTAACCGCCCAATCCGCCCGATATCTTATCGGGTGGCTAGCGGATTAATACATTTAAAAGCCGATAACTATTAAGCCAAACCGTTAAGAGTAATTAACCGCCCAATCCGCCCGATAAGCAGCCCTAATGTTACCTTGTTATGATTTTACCTCCTTTTCAAATATTTAACTTATTAAATATAGGATTTTTAATAGACTATATTTTTAATGGCTAACTTAACTAAACTGAATGTAAATACATGGCGCAGATAAATTTTTACCTGCGCACATGACTGATAGTACATAGTTGTTGAGAGTTTAAGTTAGCGTTTGGACATAGATTTGATTCACTTGAAAAAAGAATTTTTGAAATTGTGTTAGAAAAATAATTTTTGAAAGTTGAAATTGTATTTGAACATGCATTATATTTGAAAAAAAGTTAAAATTTTGTGACCGGAAGAAATAAATTCACCCAAAAACTACTGAAAATTTTTGAAGTTCTTTTTCCCAAAACATGATCATATTTCATAAACAAATAATGTTTTTAATTTTTTTTAAAAAAAATGAAGCCAAAATCTATGGCTAAACGAGAGATAATTTTGCCTACTTTCCACTCTCCCGTCTGTGTTTTTTACTCTCAGCTATCTAATCCAACTTCTGCTTATTTTTAACATTTACCTCATTTATTCTTCCTATAATATTATGCCGGAACTTGTGAAAAGCACCTTAACATTTGGACATAAATTCTACTCCCTTACAAACAAGATAGGTAAATGTTCCACCACTTCAGAGATAAAAAGTTGGTACGCCTCAGGTTTAGCCAATTCAATACAAACAATAATGAATTCATAGTGCCAAAGTAAGATCATTAGGAGTATATTTTCAGAAGAAAAAAGGTGTTGCATTATACATCAAATTCACTGCACAATGACTAGGATCCATGCCAGCTCGTACATATTACAAGTATGTTATCTCTCATTCGGATACTTTTGTTGAAAGTCGGAGCTCCACTTTCCGAGAGACCTTAAAAGCAAAACTTCTTTTTCTGCATAACAAGACAGCAAGATACAAATCAACAATATGAATCTTAAAATTCTAACACAATCATAAATATGAATGCACAAACGTATACCACAGAAAAAAGGTGCACAGGCAATACTGCTCAAAACCTTGTCTATTCTTAAGTCTATATGCACCAAGGTATTTTCTCAGAAGAAGTTTCCACTATACCGACTTCCTATCCTACTTGGGTTCACTCATAATTTGATGTTGTCTAATTACCAAACAAAGCTGGAAACTCACCTGAAATTTTGCAGCTTTCGCAGCTTCTTGACCAGCAATGTATGCAAGAAGTTCCTCTTGTCTCATCAAAGCCTCATGCAAAGCCTGTTTCGAAAAGAAGGAATATTATCAACTCAATAACCAAGAAAAAGTGGTATGTTACACTTAAATGCTAATATTGTCAGCAACACAACATTATTTACATTGAATGCTTGCTGAGGTATGTGATGTAGATGTCGTTATTCTCAGCAGTATTATGCAATGAAATGCTTGCTGAAACAAGTCATAAGTTTGGCCACAACTTATCACCATAATCGTGGAATATTATTTCAAGTTGCAAGCACACTAGCTGTCACACTAATAATTGAATTCCAACATATTCCCTCGTTTCTCTATCTGATAATGTTCTGGCCTCAACAACACTCCAAAAGCATAAAGAGTCTCACATGACCAAACCATAACGTAATTTAGACTATATTTCATTAGTTAGGCCTTATCTCACAAGTTGAACATGCTAAGCAACCAAAACTTCCAGCTGAGCTAGCAAACATAAAAGATGCAAGCTTTGGTGAAGCAAAACCACTGGTTTCGCACCCTTATTCACATACTGCATCATAAAATATTTACCTTCTTGGTTGCAATTAACTCAGCTTCTAGGGCATCCACACGGCAAACAGCAGCATTTAGCAATTCCTCTTTCTCATAAGGCATCTCAGATGGCTTTTCTTGAAGTGTATTTACTTTGCCCTCAAGTTCACCCAATTTCTTCAGAACAACAGAAAGCAGCTGCGCTTCTGTAAAGGCTGGAATTGGTGAAGGTGGCCGAAACTCCTCTTTACTGATTGCATCAGAGGTGAATTCTTGAACTGCTTGGGCTTGACCATTTGATGGATCAGGAAGTTTCTTGGTTACACGGCATAGCACTGAACGGAAAAACATCATCACAGTCGTGAAGAAGGCCAGAAGAAGTCCTAATATCCGAGTACTAAGACCACCTACGGGCTTTTGAGAATCTGCTGGTGGAAGCATCCCTGAATAAAATGTAAATAGCCACATACATCATGTCAGTACGAATTGAAAACTTGTAACGGACTAATAAAATAGAACACGGCCAACAGGTAGGATAAATGCCATATTAACCACAGACGTCTGCAAGTTCCAGCTTTACGACCAAAATAGAGCTAAAAGCAAAACAGAAAGAATAATGTTCACACTATTAGTAGCACCCAACACAGATTGTCTTGGATGCAGGTGGCCACAAGCAGCACTGACGCCTGACTACTGCATGCAACTAAAAACCATATTAAGACGATTAGAGTATCAGAATAATACATTTCAAAAATACATACATATATACACATTATATTGAATCACAAACAGGAAGTACATCAAAATTACAGGGTGAGAACTACAGTGAGCTAGCTCCTTTTACCCCCCTTGATTAGGTGCATACTGAAATCTAACTAAAAGATTCAGATACTCTTATGCTTTCTCCCCTCTTCTTTCCAATTCCTTGTGTGTACAAATGCATGTGTTTTTTGCAGAAGTCTAACCTTTGGAAATGGCAGCTCTTTGAAAGGATGTTTGTTTCTTCCACACAGAATCAACTGCCTTGTCAACCATGGGAACATATTCATCATATCCAGAGAAGTTTGTAGTGTAGCCTGAGGTTCCAGCCTTAGCCTGTTTGATGAGAAAAACAATAGTATATGATAAGAAAATTGTGTAAGCTCAATTTCGTTCAGGAAGGGAATGGGGAAGGAGATATTTCCATGAAAACTAAGGGAATGCAAATCCTGTATTGTTCCGAGTCTCAGTGAAAGAAAATTTTACATTCTCTCCAATAAAAGAAACGCTAATTCATGAAATCAGGTGAATAGGTAGAAATATACCTCTTCACGAACAGGAGTAAGCCGAAGATGGGAATAATTCCTTACAGCTTTAGGGGAAGCAATATCTTCAGCTTCAGATCCTGATTCAGCGGTGGAGGTATCACTACCTTTTACCTGCTAAAATTCAAAATACATGTAGCAATCTTCAAAGGAGGTTGACCATTTAGAGTGTTCTCATAATTTAGGAAAGACAGTAGAAGACATACCGTGGGGAAGCGAGGTTTAGCGTAAACTACCTTGCCTTCACTGTTTACAACTTTAACGACCTGCCTGGCACGCCGTGCTTCACCAATCATCTGCCGTCAAAGAAGGATTTCCCATTACTCAAAAGTTAAAATAGTTTTTCATAAAGGTAGAAATGCTTCCTCGTTACTAAAGACATCAAGAACAAGCAGACCCTTGTTCCAGAAAAGAAGAGTGCTGAAAATAAATGTTAGGAAAAGAAAAAAAGAAGATCTTGCCTTCCTAAAAGAATGAGGAGAAGAACATCTTTCAAAACAAAATTGCTCTCAGATGCGAGGGTGTAGATGAAACCTTTAGTATCTCCGGATTTTGCCATGGCCCTTTATCTGAACGAAGGCAACCTCCTTGATCTGCACATGTACAGGTTCCACCAAGAAACTCTGGCAACTCACTGCACAAAATCAAAAATCAGTAACATAACTTTTAAAGAAGGAAATCTGCAATACCATCAAAAGCAGAAATAAGCAAAAATTTTCCTTGTACAGTGGAAAAGAATGCTGAACTCCTTTACCTAGCATCAACTATTTCAAGCAACTTGTTTTGGTACTTGTTTCCAAGAACCTATAAGAAATTTGACAACAGAAGCAATTGAGTAAATATAGCCAAATAATTGATAATGTTACACTTTGAGAAGTGGCAGTAGAAGAGCATAGACAAACATGTATCTTGGAGGTGGTCTTGGGATCCAGAAAACTCTTAACAGTATTCCACAGCAGCCTAAAGCCAGGTCCAGCATTGATGATAAACATCTGATGAAGTGTCTGCACCAGCCAAAATGTAGCAAAATGTGTTAATGAACCGAAAACTAGAAAAGGCCATATAGTACCTACTGATAGGGATATAATCATGCCTCAGGATAATTATCACCATCAATCTTCTGAAGTCGCACAATGAGCTCTCTTGCACTCTTGTTAAAGTTTTTCAAACCCTGGGAAATCAACACAAGAAAATGAAAATAGGTAAATCCTAGTGTGCTAAAAATTCAATCTGAAATCATGACACATTAGCGCAAGAAAACTAATGGTAGGTGACATACCACTCCCTGGACGTCCAAAAGAGTGGTGCTAGAATCAATCTGCCTTTTAGCAGCAACTGTACATGCTGGAAACTTGATTGCAAAAGTTTTCTCGAACTCTCTTACATGGTTTCTTATGTAACGGTCCATTGTTGTGACTTGCATAAGTTTGTTAGGATCAACTTTCCCTAGCCTTTCAATGTATACCGGTCTTCCCTCCTTATCAATCCCGTGGTAACCTTGGGGATAGTATTTCGAAACTTCATCCTGCTCTTGGAATTGAAAATCCTGATGGAAAAATTTGATATGGGAAATATTTCAGAATAAATGAAGTCACTAGAATCTGGTATATGAAGAAATACCGTCACTATCCATCAGAGGAGAAATAAGTTACATGGATAATGGTGTCAGCACCAAATTCCTTCCTCCACTGAAGCATATCAGCCCACATATGCTTTGCTTTATCAATATCAAACTTTCTTGCTTTCAGAAACCTGCAAAAAACTCATAAGGAAAAATAAATGAAATAACAAAAACAAGAATTGANGAAACCCATAAGGAATAATAAATGAAATGACAAAAACAAGAATAGACCACCTGACAGTTCTTAATCAAAAGCCTGCATAAATCTATATCCTCTTTCATTTGCCTATTCTGAGAGCTAATACCTATGCTCACAATGTCTACCACTTCTAACTTTTGTTTCAGTTGGCAGGCCTGATGGAAAAGAGCATAGAGAAAGTTGACATATGATATCCAGAGTAAATTTCACATCCGGCCTCTTTGACTACAGCAAACTAAAGAACAAAATAATACATGAGTTCAAGGAAAAAGTTGAGAAATCATTTTTCAATTTTTTCTTACTCTATTTGGACAAAGAAAAGGACCGATATCATGTGTCATTTGTAGTGGACAGATTTACGCAGAGGTAATATGTATGACTGTGGCTCCAGAAATTGTTGCAACACATCAAAATAATAGAACAAACCAACAAAAGAAAAAAGAGCACAAAAGAAGAAACACTGTTGAAGGCACTGGAACCTGGCCTAACAATATGATGGTCCTGGAAAAATTCATTTCATAAATTGGCCTTTTCTGCCCATGCATTCACCCCTGATTCAGTTTTTAAAACAAGCCTAAGTAAGCATTCTAACTTTCAACTAACATTTCGAACATGAAGTGTGTTGAAATTGTCTCTATACAAGCAACAACTATCACAATAAACAAGTTTAAAAAAAAGACTATCACAAGATAACAGATAGCAGGATATATCTTAATCAGTTTGACATAAATACTTGAAGAAATTAAAGGTTACAGGGTATCACCTTAGCATCATATAGTAGTCATCATGTCTCTCAGGTAACAAATCATCCAAAATTAGTGCTTGCCTAAATTGGTCAACAGCTTGTAGCTCCTCAGCATCACGAATATCCTCAATTGAAACTGAACTCACTCGTCCATCACTTTTTCTTCTGCCTTTCTTCTTAAGAGAATGTTTAAATTTTGTTGATGCATTCAGTGCTTTCTTTTTCAGCAAACCAATTCTTGTCCTCCTCTCATCCTCTGAGTTCTCGAAATCAGATTTTCTTTCTCTTCTCTCATCATGTGTGGACGACCCCTCAAAGCCTGTTAACATTGAAAAGGAAACAGCAGGAAAATTAATCACATAACACATTTGAATTTAACACAAAGGCCAATCAAGCTCCTAAGTAACTGGGTTCAGCTGTATGAATCTTCTATATTCATTAGACTTATTCAAACACATTCAGTAAAGAATAAGGTTAAAAAATCCTCTTCAACCTAAGCTCATTTTCGATCAAAATTCATACTTTTTCCCAAAACAAAGTGTAATAGCTTACAAATATGAAAAGCAGAGTAGCATGGAACTGTATGTGAACCGAATTCCACCAAGCAAGTTCTTAAACAGAGTGCTAGAAGATTTCCATTGACATGAGGTGAGCTTGGGAAGTCGAGCACATTCTAAAATAGGAACTGAAAATGACTGCATCCAAAAGTGAAGAACCACCACAAAAGATTGATTTGCTTCCGGAATTCACCAAAATCAACCCCACTAGAACCATTTAAGAAAAGCAAAGAAACACCGCAATGCAGATTTTCATCAAATCAGCATAACTCAAAACAAAATCATATATGCAAGTTCATCAAATATTCCCAGCAACCTTCCCACACTGTCTCTTTTTCTATGAGAGCGGTGTCTGGGCCAGCTTATGCGGCACCTCGACTATTCTACTGGTTGGCTACTACCTCCCACCAGCACATGTACCGTTAACTCTACCCACTGAGGCTTTAGGCAGATGAGAAGTAAATCACCTAATGGTTTTTTGCCTCCGCATGAATTTGAACTCGATACCTCATGGATCTCTTCCCACACTTTCTCTATTTCTGTGATACCACCAGCGTCCAGTCCAGCTTATACGCACTTCAACTATTTCATCGGGTTGACTACTACCTCCCCACTAGCACATGTAATGGGTAACTCTACTCACCGAGGCTTAGGCAGATGCGGAGAAATCACCTAGTATTTATTGCCTCGACTAAGATTTGAACTGAGATCTCATGGTTCTACTCCCACTTCATTGACCATTCACCGGCCACACCTTCGAACTAAAGTCAACCATATTTTTCACTTTGGCAGGGTACGAGGCTCAAACTCTTGACCTGCTGGCATGAAAAGGACTCTCTCAACCACTACGAACAAGAATGACTGGTAAAGTCAACCATATTAATCCACCAATGTGAGCTACAAAAAAAAGTTAACGGCTCTCAAACCCCAACAAGTTGAGAATCACTTAAAACATAGTCTAACTAATAAGCCCTCTCAAACCCTGATAAGGAAGAGAGATATGATAAGTTCATCAACAGTGTAAACTATCACGAAAGCTCTAAATACTGCAACATTGAAATTGGTACCCCAACTAATTCGGGATTGAAGCATAATTACTTAATTGAATAACATACTAAATTAGCACCATATCCTAATCTAAACCTATTTTTCAGCAATCTTAAAACTGCACACAAGCTCAAAAACCCAAAAGTAACAAGTAAAGAATGTAACTAAAATTCAGCAAATAGCAAACAATGTAGTTCAGAATCAGTAAACAAGTTAATAAAAGCAAACGAAAGTCAACTCACAAGGCCTCGCAAATCGATCTAATGGACCCGACATAGCCCAAATCAAGCAGATGAATCAAGCCTGAAAATTCCTGATGACCAGTAGATCGGTAAATCCAAAGAGCTCGACAAAAATCACTGTAAACTCAAAAAAGAAACTTGATGCTCCGGTAGATCGAGAATCAAAAGAGCCTCACAAAATCACTGTAAAGTCAAAACTCTAACAAGAAAAATCAACAAGAAAAATGAAGAAAAGTCGCTATTACTCAGTAGGTGGGAGAAGAAAAATGGGAAGAAACAAAGCTGGAGCCACCTTTTTGGAAGTATCGAGGATGATCGGACGGCAATAAATGCATCAAAAACTAGTAACGGAATAGTGGAATTGTTTGGTAAGAGTAGGGGTATTTTGGGGAAGATAATTAATGGCACCGATCCAATTATAGATGATTTCTGATAAATAAAATCTTTTTACTCTTTAACTTTCATAAATAATGATAAATCTCAAATACCAAATAGTTAAATGTCCCAATTTATATGTAGTAATATTTTTTTTAGTCAGTACCAGAATAATATTTTTTTTATATTTAATAATAATTTAATTTTAAATTTTTCTTTTTACTGTCAATAAAATAATTTCTAGTCACACTAATTTCAATAGATTGTTTTAAACTATCAGTTTCAAAAAATTTCTTTTATTTTTTTAAACTTCGCTCACAATTAAACACTTTCGCATAAAGTACTTTTACTTTGCCAAATACTTAACTTTGAAAAAAAATTACTTTTGTTTAAAAAAAATTAGTATCACATGCCACGTAGGATACAGGTGGGTCCCAAAAGTGAGTGGAACATGCCACGTATACAAGACGTGTTTGGAAGGTGATAAAAATCTGGCTGGCGGTTCATTGCGGTTAAAATGACAAAAAGGGGCGCTGATTGAGTAATGATTTTGTGACCGACGGTGATATAGGAGAAATTAATTAATATTAATAGGAGTAATAGATTGACAAAAAAACTTTACTGTACACAAAAAAACAAAAACAAAAAGGTTGTCAGGGATGAAAATTTATGTTTCTCTTCTCAATCAAAAAAAATTGGTTATAATCCTTTTCATAATAATGGAACTCAGACAATATTTTTCATTTTGATGTTGAATAGTAGAATTAAAATAACATATTATATGTCAATAAATAAATAATTTAAAACAATTCTTGATAGTATGTTAGCTATCGTTGTTGACAATGAGCCAGCTAGCATGATTAGTGATACTTGATCTGTCCTTAGGTGATTAATTAAAGAAAAGTGAAAGAAATTATATTTTTTATTAACGTCAGCGTAAGAAAAAGAAAAAACGCATGCCGTTGAACAGTCAAGATCGTGCTTTAACGTGAATAAATAAACAACCAAATTAATGTTACAATTGATTAATCTATCTTTAAAAATTACTATATGTAATCTTTTTGTAAACAACAAAATACGGAGTCTCTTCGCCCGGAAGACCGCGAAGAAGTAATCAACTTTTTCTTTTTGTCTTTTCTAAAAGTAGCAAACTTGCTTGACCATGACCCACTCAAATACTCATACGGGCCACAGGTGATTGAACGCGGCTCCGGCCTTTTGCTTAGCAGCCCTAAAATTCAATTGATTAAAGGGCATGCGCATTGGCCCAAAGAAAAAAAGTCTTATTTAGTAAGTATACAATTCATTAAAAAATAACACATATTAATTAGAGTTTGGTACGAGTTAGACAGGTTGGCTATGACCTAAATTTTAGTCTATCTTGACCCGGCCTATCTCAGTCCAAGTAAATTTTGGGCAGGTCAACCCACTTATTTATTGATTTAATCTATTTTGATCCACCCAAAATGGGCTCAACCCGCCCATTTAACGACCCTGATCTTGAGCATGAGGCACTGCATAATGTTTATTGTAATTTGTCTCCGGTTGACATTGTTAGACACCAAAGGAACCAACCAGTCATTTATGCTTGCCTTTACTCTGTCAGCATGTGCAAATTTGGTATCATTTGTTTTAAAACGAACAAAAGATACAACAGAAGATGGGAAAGAATCCTAAGCTTTCAAAGTGCTTGTTTCTTTCAAAAAAAAAAAAAAGAAGGAAAAATTACGGAAATAGTCAATTTAAACTCAAACTTATGAATCTCTAGCTCAAAATTAGACACTTACCAAAATTAGCTGAAAATTAGAGATACACGCAAGGAAGGATTCTTCCTTTCGAGAATCACGCTAAAGATCTTCCTTCCTTCCCTATTTTTCAAGCGTGTCAATTTCACAGATACATACATTCTTTAAATCACAGCGTTATCTCCCAAAAAAATCTCAAAAATAGCTCCAAATTTCACTCAAAAATCGATCAATTTCACTGTAGAAGCAACAATTTCCTTTCGTGATTTTTCTGTAGATATAGCCTTGATGAAGGAACTACGAACTACAATCAAAATCACTCAAGGAATTAGTGAGTTTTGACCTAATTCCAGCTACTTCAATGGCAAACCAATTTTTCTTCAGTATGGTGACCGATGGAATGTTGTCAACAATTTTGTAGATTACAATGTCAATGCTGTAATGGTTACTCCAAATATAAGTTATGAAGATTTTGTAGACGTGATTTCGAAATAACTTATGATGGATACTTCATTGAATGTTATTGAAATCAAATACATTTTCCAAAACGGTTCTCCACCAATAGTGATACACAATAATATGGGTGTATGTGTATATCTTGAGCTGAAAAAAAGCTCAAAATTTACAATGTATCCCCTTTGTATAACATCGAGTGAAAAGGATATGGATATGATCTGCTACAATTTAAATTCTGTTGTGATTTCCTCAGAGTGTGCACAAAGCTCAGTTATACAGGAGAGATACAAAGGTGATACAATTAATATGATTGAGTTTAGGGATGGAGAAGACTGGCAGGATACAGAATCTAATGAAAATATAATAATAACTGACCCTCAAGACATAGATGTAGAAGAAGGTCAAATTTATAAAGACAAGGCTACGATAGTCAGAGTCATGAAGCACTTGGCAGTAAAGGAAAAATTCCAGTTTAAGGTGCATAGATCAAGTGAAAGCAGGTATCATAATATTTATTGTATAATTATGTATCTCAATGTATATCGTATTTGATGTTAGAAGCATAATTATGCAGAAAATAAGTTGCTGCTTGTAAGTATGTGGTTGTACACTTTTAAGTTGTGGTTGTCACCGTGTAGTACTATATAGTCGTTTTATTTTTTCATCTAGTATTGTTGATGGCAGTGTGTATCACTATATATCATTGTGAATATGAGCAATGCCGTCGCCTACTTGAAGTACGGTACCGGTATTTACAATCTTTACTTCTCTATTATATTGTTCAATACATTCACGAATAATATTACTAATTTCGTCAGCTTATATTTCACGTCGCTCTGTTTATTGATGGAAAAGTTTATATCATTATTGTAGGTATTACCTAGTGTGCATCAACAACAACTGCGATTGATGTTTTAAGTCTTCGAGCCTGAAAAAAGCAAAACTTTTCAATGTCAGAAATTTTAGCAAACTACACTCGTGCCCACTGAAAGACAGATCTTACGCACAACGTCAAGCTACTGCAAAACTCATCCGCAATCTTCTGATAGACAAGTATAAAGACCCAAAAATAATATGCACTCATAATGACATAATTGGAGACATGAACAAGCAGTATGGTCTTCAAATGACATATATGCAAGCATGGAGATAGAAGGAATACACAGTTCAACTACTGAGAGGGAACCCGAGCGAATCATACAAAAATCTGCCAAGCTACTTTTATTTGCTGGTTCTTACGAATCCTATGTCAGTGGTAAGTTTGAAAAAAACAGAGAAAGACATGTTCATGTATGCTTTCGTTGTACTATATCCGTCTATAAAAGGATGGCAGTATTGCAAAGTAGTTGTTGTTATTGTAGATGGAACCTTTCTTAAATCGACATAGAGTGGAACATCATTGATTAACATCCACACAAGATCCAGCAGGTAAAA